GAGGGTGGCATCCGGGACAGAGGGTGGCATCCGGGACAGAGAGTGGCATCCGAGGACACAGGGTAAGCAGAGCGAGAGCACAAGCACAACACGGCACGTAACACCCCCTCCCATAAAACCAAACACTTGTTTAGTCACAACCAACCCCCACCAGACATGTATTTACATTATAACAAAAACACACAGCTTAAACACACGGCTTCACTACAGCGATTTGCCCAAGGCGTTGTCCATGAGGAGCTCCTCTCATTTTAGCCACCGCTAATCGCGATTGAATGCAGCCGCGTCCAATCAGCCGCTGCAGCTGGCATCCGGGACAGAGGTTGGCACCCGAGAGGACATTGAGGGTAAAACCTCAATTGGACTTCGTCATTTCAGGATACAGCTCTGTCAGATGTGATAGAATTGGGAAAACAAGGTGGAGGGTGTGTAACATTTATTAAGGATACCTTAGCACAGAGGTGTCAAACTTACGGCCCGCGGGCCGGATCCGGCCCGCCACGTCATTTTATGTGGCCCGCGAATCCGTCAGATTAAAAAAAAAAACTTAATAATAATTTAAAGTTAGACTTGATGATAAAAATATCCCCATAGTCGAAGTTATGAGATAGAAATTCATAATTATGAGATAGAAAGTCGAAGTTATGAGATAGAAAGTCAAAATGATGAGATACTTAAACACACAATCATAGAAGCAGCTCTTTGGCTGGTTACTGTACACTTGAAATGGAAATGTATTGTGAGTACATTGAAGACTACTTTAAACGTGGCTTTAAAACACATGAAATACTTCACGTGGGATTGTGCAAACACACCCTTGAAAGGATTTTAAGGTTTGAACAAAGTTATTGTAATAACTTGTGTTTGATTTGTCTTTGATATTTTCTTTTAAAGTTTGATCTTCGAGAGAGTAATGTGGGTTTCTTAACCCTAAATTAAAAGGATTTAAGTTATAATAACAGAAATGTGCTTAAATATATTTTTACATTTATATAACTGCATGTACAATATTTTTACACTTGAATAAACAATAATCAAATGCAGAGAGTTATTTAACAATATGTTAGGAATAGTTACATTTACAGTCTTACATTTACAACCGGCCCTTTGAGGGCGACCGTGACGCTGATGTGGCCCAGACTGAAAATGAGTTTGACACCCCTGCCTTAGCATATAGAAAGATTAATGTTCCAGAACATTATGAATGTATTATGATAGAAGTATGTAGTCCAAGAGGAGATATCAAGTTAGTGAACTTCTATAATCCTTGTAAAAAGCTATCTATGGAAATGTTTCACGAGATATCAGGAAATATTGGAAAAAGAGAAATTTGGTGTGGAGATTTTAATGCTCACAATACATTATGGGGAAGTGAGTTCACTGATACCAACGGAGGGGTATGTGAAGAATTTATAGAGGAGAGATCATTCATTTGTCTTAATGATGGAAACGGTACCAGGGTAGATGTTACTCGAAATTCAGTATCCTGCTTAGATCTTACATTAGTCTCAGGAAATATGAGTAATTTGTGTGAATGGAATACAATGAATGAATCTAATATAGGGAGTGATCACTATCCTATATGGTGCTCATTAAACTGTAGTATCTTTACTCAGAAGGGTAATATAATAGAAAGATGGTGTTTTCCTAAAGCTAACTGGGGAACATTTAAAGAATGTTGTAGGAAGTCATGTGAAGAAATATCTATTGAGGGTGATGTGGACAGCTGTTCGAGAGTAGTGACCTCTATGATTATTGGTGCTGCATCAATATGCATTCCTAAGAGTAAGGTGAATGGGAAAAAGAAAATGGTTCCATGGTGGAATGATGAATGTAAAAATGCCATTAAAGAAAGAAATCATGCCTTCAGAATGTTAAGAAGCCTTTTGACTCATGATAATCTGATCGATTATCAAAGAAAGAGAGCGGTAGTACGGAAAGTTATTAAGTCATCAAAGAGGAATGCATGGAGGCAATTCTGTTCAGCTATTGGAAGAGAAATAGAGTTACGTGATGTTTGGGCGATGATCAAAAAGAGGGAAAAGAAAATCAATTAAAATCCCAGTTTTGATAGACAGAGAATATCGGGCAATTTCAAATGAGGAGGAAGCTGCGTTATTGGGGAAGAAGTTTGCAAATGTTCACAGCGGAAGTCATTTACATGAGAGGCACAGACAGAGAAAAGAAGACATTTTAGCAGCACATACAGAAGTTAAAAAGAAAGGTCAATGAAGGAACGCCTCTTGATATGGAGTTTTCAATACAGGAGCTGAAAACAGCGTTGGAGGAAAGTGGGTATACTGCTCCAGGTCAAGACCAAATATGTTACGCTATGTTGAGACAATTACCAGAAGAAGCCTAGAAATTATTCGGAAATTGTTTAATATGATTTGGAGGGAAGGTGTAATGCCAAGCAGCTGGAAGAGTGCTTTGATTCTACCTTTTGGTAAACCTGGTAAAGACCTAGCTAATGCTGGCAATTACAGACCAATAGCACTGACATCTCATTTGTGCAAGTGGATGGAAAAGATAATCATGAGAAGATTAACTTATTTTGTAGAACAAAGGGGCTTGCTAAATAAAGGTAGATCGACAATTGGCGCATTGATAAAAATTAGCAACGAGGCAGAGAAAGCAATAAGTATGAAGGAGATTATGGCTATAGTCTATTTTGATATAGAGAAAGCATATGACTCTATGTGGAGAGAGGGCCTATTGATTAAAATGTATAAAATAGGTATTGGTGGAAGGATGTATAACTGGATATTGGATTTCTTTTCTAGTCGATCATTCAAGGTAAAAGTTGGAGATGCCGTGTCAGAAGAATTCACGATAGTAAATGCGATCCCTCAAGGTCGTGTTATTAGCCCTATATTATTTAATATTATGATAAATGACGTCTTTATGGACATTGACAGAGATATTGGCTCCTTGCTATATGCTGATGATGGAGCAATATGGAAAAGGGGAAAAAATATTAGACATGTGATCAGTAGAATTCAAAAGGCTATAACCAATGTTGAAAAGTGGTCGTATGACTGGGGGTTTAAGATGTCTGTTGCTAAGTCTTGCAATATTTAGGCTTATGGTTAGATGAAAAATGTTTGTGGAGAACTCATATTAAGCATATTGAAACTAAATGTAAAAAGGTGCTCAATGTTATGAGAGCAGTTTCTGGACATGAATGGGGAGCAGATAAACGTCACTAATGGATATCTATAGGGCTATTATACGAGCATGTATAGATTATGGATGTATGGTGTATGGAGCAGCTGCCAAGAGTACATTACAAACATTAGATAGAATTCAGTTCAGAGCTCTAAGACTTAGTATGGGTGCAATTAAATCCACCCCAAACAACGCACTTCTGGTGGAAGCTGACAAACTGCCATTAAGTTTAAGACGATCAAAACTAGCTCTGGCATATTGGGTGAAGTTAAAGGGATCTGGAGAGGAACTTCCCGCAACAAATGTGCTGTATGAATGCTGGGAATACACCCAAAGTAAAGGCAAAGGGTTTGGTTGGACAATCAGTGCAATAGCCAAAGAATACGGTTTAACTGGGTTAGAGTATGGTCCCAATGTAATGTGGGGAAATGTTCCTCCTTGGATACTACCAGTTCACAATGTGGATTTAACACTCATAGAAGAGAGGAAAAAATGGATGGAAAGAAACTTGTATGACATTGGACATCAGACTCAAGTATAAATCAATAATAATTATTATAACTATCTGCAGATTTATACAGATGGATCTAAAGATAACGGGAATGGACACATAGCATTAGGGGTATTCATACCAGAATTTAGGGTGACAATATGCAAACTAATTAATGACAGACTGTCTGTCTTTACAGCCGAAATTATTGCAATAATCTTGGGACTGCAATGGGTAGAAGAGGTCAGGCCTGAGAGAGTGTTCATCTGTTCAGATTCTGCTGCAGCTTTAAACAGCCTAAAGACAAAACAAACAATAAGAGAGGATTTAGTGATGGAAATATCTCTGATAATGTTGAGACTTCAAAGACTGGGAATAAATGTTCAATTTTGCTGGGTTCCTGCTCATGTAGGTGTGGAGGGCAATGAGAGAGCAGATATGATTGCAAAGAGAGCACTAACACTAAAAGAAGAGGATATATTGAATATTCCTTTTGGAAAGGGGGAAGCTAAAGCATTAATAAGAGAGGCAGGACGGGAGTTATGACAGAAGAAGTGGGACAACGACAACAAGGGAAGACATTATTATAACATTCAGAAATCCATAAATGTGAAGACATACAAAGGGAAGTATAGAAGAGAGGAGGTCATAATATCAAGGTTAAGATTCGGACATACAGGACTTAACTCAACTCTGTATTTAATGGCAAAAAAGGACTCAGATAAGTGCACTATTTGTAATGTACTGAAGATGTGGAGCATGTTATCCTGAAATGTCAAAGATACAATTCAGACAGGTACATCTTGAAGCAAAAAATGTGTCAGTTGGGACGGAAGTGGAGTTTGGAGGGAGTTCTGGCAGCGGATGAAGAATGGCGCGACTGCTGCAGGCACTGTTGCGATTTCTTAAAGAAACGGGATTAGACTGTAGGATTTAGTTGTTAGTAGGTGTTGTTTAGGTTTATTTATTTAGTTATTAATATATATGTATATATATATATATATATTATTTTATTTTATTATCAGAACAGTGAAGAAAAGTTTACCCTGAAAATGCACACTCCGGTACAGTAGGTGGCGGTATGCACCTATGCAAGTTGGTTGCGATCCGCCATTGGAATTTAAAGAAGAAGAAGAAGTAGCCTACTTACCAATCGCCTTAAAAGTAGAAGAAGAGAAGAGAAGAGAACAGTAGCCAGCCTGCTTATCGAGACTGCAGTACAGCTGCTTTCTTGCAACTCTCTGTGACTCTCTGTCTGACATTCATAATGGTGAGTACAAAAGAAAAAAGATCATACTTCTGCTATATGGTTGTACAGTTTGCTTTATATTTAACAATTAGTTTGTGGTGCTGTTATTGTATTTTTCTGCATTATGTTTCTGTATTATTCCAAGGCAATATATTCATTTAGCCCGCAGAAGTGATTTTTACTGTAAATATTTTGGTTATTGTAGCAATTGTGCATTTGTTAGCATTAAGAGATAAAGGCAATAAACACATCTTTTATTCTCAAAATTATTTAAAATCTCTAGTGAATTAAAATATTAAAATCAACACCATGCTGTATCATGTGGCTGAAAAATGTCATCAAATGTAAATATTGCTGATAGTTTGGGAAACTGTGCTGGACTGCAAAGTTACATTTTGTTTCATTTTTTTTAACAAAAGGCTTTTCACTTATTCAGATACCACATCTTAAAATCTGAGCCTGTGCTCATAATTTTGACGATGGTCCAAGTTTTCTGAATAGTTAATTTTGCTCTCACCTTTGTCTTATTGCACCTTGCTAAAGAGTGACATTTAGAAAGACCCAGGCAAGGATGAGGTCATCCCAGAGTTTTAAATGTAAAACAACTGGACGCATTCTACTTTATAATGCAGCAATGCAGCTCAAAGCAGTTGATATTTGTGAAGCAATGCTGCTTGACAAGCGTGTTATTTGAAGTCTAATGAATCTCAACATTGAAAGCTGCAATTCATTTACTGCAAATGTAGTTGTGTAATATTGTTACGGTGAGAAGACAGAACTTGTTAATTTAAGACACCCCCTTATGATGAATTAAAAACATAGAATCATGCAATCCTTCATTACTTACAGTGTTGACACATATTTTACCTTGCATATTGACACCAGTAGTCTGTCATCTCATTTTCCTATGAAATTTAAGTAACGATCTCATGCTAATTAGCTGTTTGGTTATTGGTGTTGATTGAAGCCACTTTGCATAATACCCCACAGTTGAATTTGCAAGGGAAAATTACTGCACTTGTTTAAAGGTAAAATTGCGAGGGTGTTATCTCCCAAATGACAACTGATATCTTCTCTCTATAAAGTTTCCTCTTTATTGCATTAAGGAAAGGGAAAATTTTCAAGCTACAAATAGTCTCTTTGTCAGATACAGAGGAATCAAACAAACTCAGGTGTCAAGTCTGGTCACATTAGAAAAGCAACAAATGCATTGAACATTTTCTGGCATATGACAATGAACAGGGGCGTCGTTAGGCCAGCCAGGATTATAGCCAAGGAGTTTAGCTCAAACCACGTAAATGATGCACGGAGGGAAATTGTAAGCACAGGTTGTTACAGAATGTGGCTATCTGTAGTTGTTAACGATTGTTACCTGCTTAAATTTAGGTTTACTTGATGCAAATGAAAGGGAATACTGTAGTGGGCTATGTTAACACTAAGCTAGCTAGCTATTTTGTTATAAACTGTCTCCAGTGAGCAAGAGTGTGAACGAGCGAATTCGAAATACAAGAAATAACTATCGACATCTCTCTATTCTTTGCATTAATGTATCTCTCTTGTATTTCGAAACAATAATATCAGTCCCTATAGAATGTTGTTGTTTATAATCAGTTAATGCTTGTGAAAACTAAATGTCATAGTGTCCCTCATAACGCTATTGTACCCGTATATCATCCAATTCATTGACCAGATGGAGAATATAAGAAGATTCTTTGGGATAGGTGGTGAGAAGCAGAAGACTGACAAGGTTAGTGGTCTACAGCAGAGGTCCCCAACCTTTTTTGCACCACGGACCGGTTTCATGTAAGACAATATTTTCACGGACCGGCCTTCAAGGTGTGGCGGAAAAACACGACGAAATAAAATGATACGACTCGTCATGAAAACAAATATAAAATGCATAATAAATACAACTCACAATAACGCTGAATCAGTGGGAGCCCTGAGCTTGTTTCTCTGCAACGAGACGGTCCCATCTGGGGGTAATGGGAGACAATGACACCCGAAGTGTGTTCCTTATGTCCAGTCTATTCCGTAATTAGGGCCCGAGCTACCGACGTCGGGCCGCGAAGGCCCTATTGATATTGTACCCGTTTGGGTAAACGTACGCATGGTTGGAGGACTTGCCATGCATGAAAACTCACCAAATTTTGGGGACTTGTCAGGCCTGGTGAATATAGCCATCTGAAAAAGAATGCATCTTTCTGTGTTAAGAAATGGCTCTCTAGCGCCCCCTACAAGTCGGACCGGCGACGCCCCTCGGCCAGTATGTCCGATTGACTTGAAATGTGACACACATGTCCACTTAGGCTAGAGCTACAAAAAAGCCAATCAGACCCCTAAGCTCCGCCTACTTAGATTTTCCGCCATATTGAATTTTGTGTAAAACACATTTCTGCAAACTCCTCCTACATGCTTAGTCCCATTACTACCAAATTTGCTGTGGATCATTACTGGATCTACATCATCAAAAGTTATCAAAAGCTTTTTGATATCTCTTTTCGTTTACAAGATATGTACCAATAAACTTCTTAGGGGCGTGGCTTAATATCAATACATATAACTTCTCAACCGTTTGTCCTAAAATTACCAGATTTTCAGCATATGTGCACATTGCATCCTCTAACATACCCTGAGATTTATTTTGCATTCAACAACTAGCGGGCGCTACAGTAAACCCTCGAAGTTGTGCTTTTTGTCACTTTTTGCAGATTTCAGCCTTCGCACTTTAACGAACTTCTCCTACAGATTTTAAGCAATGAACTTCTACGTTGGTCAGGATGCTCTTAAGACCTTTGTGATTAAAAGTTATCAAAATCGAGAGTTTTCATCAAAGAACCTTGACGTGGCGTGGCGGCCATTTTGCCTCATTGTTTATGAAAAAATAAGTTCTTATAAGTTGTTATAACTCCAAGGTACATTATCCAATCCGCATAAAACTTATTTTGCATGATGCTACTTCAAGCCTAAACATACTTCAATTGAAAAAAATTCAATAAAATTCAATAATAACATGTTGATGAACTAATGCTGTTTTAGCCACACGCACCCTTTGAATGAGAATTCCACATTTTGTGTTTTCTTGAATATGTTTTATGGCCTCATGATTTCATGTTTTGCTTTATTTAACAGAAGAGCCGTTGGACACTGAATGTCACCATACTGCGAGCAGAGAATGTCCTCTCCACAGATTATTGTATGTATCTGTTTGATTTTAACGAACATTTTGTGACTTGCACACTTTATGGTGTGATAAAATCTTGTTACTTATGATGATGTCACTTTTTCACTTGACACAAAAACCAAAGAATCAGAAGGGTCCTAAATCTTGTTTGAAGTGTCCTTTTAATGTTTTACTTTGCTAAAAGAGAGAGCCCTCTCAGTAGTAAAAGTAGGGATGTCCCAGTCTAGTTTTTTATTTGTTTTGGCTATAAGTTGTGTAAGGGGCTGATAACACAGAGACTTGTTGCTACATGCAGCTGCTTCAAATTCCTTCCCTTGGCATTCACCACACACACACACACACACACACACGCACACAGTATGTAGGAGACCTGGGGACAGTTTGAAAAAATTATTCTTTTTAACCAATTGCTATCCGAGCACTATACTATACCAAAACCAAGGTATAGGGAGTAGAGTGTGAATTAAATTAAAATCAAGAGAAGAAATGAAGATCCATGTTTTGCAGTCAAGAATAATAAAATAGTTGACCACCTGTATAGGTTTATTTCTTTAAAAAAATATTTTAGAACATGCGGAGGGCAGCCGCACGTGACAATATTAATGACCAATATCAAATGTCCAATATGAAAACTGAAGTTAAGTTGAAGAAAAAATAAAGTAAAACTGAGCTAATTTGCTTCATCAGGACTGTTTGGATGTGGTTTCACCACCAGGTGATGAAAGTGCATGACATCATGTTTTTCCAACAAAACCTTTAACACCAACATTCAGTGCTATTTAGTGACCCAGATGATAACAACAATAAAGCTCATTATATGGGCTGCTAGCATGCTGTCCATATTAATGACTTTATTTACAAATACTTAGGTTAGTTATAAGCAGGGCAAATATTATATGACCTACGCTTGTTGCATGAACCCTGTATAATAATCCTTCTCCTGATTTCATACCCCAGCATCGAAATCAGACTGCTATGTTACTGTGTGTCTCCCCTCAACATCTGCAACAGTCTACAAGACAAAAGTTGTGGCAAACGTCAAAGACCCAGAGTGGAATGAAACTTTTACATTCAAGTTCAATGATGATCTCAAGGTAAGACCAGTACAGTAGGCTGCTAGCACATGTACCACACTAATGACTATTTAAGGAGTTAAATGTGTTTTTTGTTTGTTTTTTGCTTTAATCAACTACGACGTTAGTTATTCTGGAAACATTTTATGAAGGATTCTTTTGAGTGAATGGTCACACATATTTGTATTACAGGATCTACAAATGAAAAATAAGATTTACAAATGTGTAGAACTTGTGCGTAATGTTGGGTATTAATAAATGCGTGTTCTAATCTACACACAATGCTCAGCAAATTGATGTGAAATCATGTGAAACAGTTTTTTAAATGCACACATCACAACCTGAATGAATATAAATATTTTTTATACAGTTTTTAATTTTAACTTAACAGATCTGATCATGTTCACCTTCGAAAAGCTTCCTGTGTATGCAAATGTCCAAAATATTTGTGACATTCTATTGTATTTGTTTATAGATCGTTAAATGTGTACGCCTGAATCGCCAGATACGCACGGATCACGTTCCATTTTTGTCTCGAGTTTTCAGACTATTTTCACGTTCTCCAGCCCCACACAGATCCACCAGTCCATGCTGCATTTAAGTGCTGGTGGAAAACTGGGACATCTGTGTTTTAGGTCAAATCCTGTGTTATTTCAAAGAGGGAAACACGTTTTTTTTCTGAACAGACAGAATAGCTCGTCACCTCTTGATTAGAACAAATACATTTACCAACTATATACTAGCTATACTAGCCTAGCTATCATGTAAACAGGCGCTAAGAAGTAGACAGGCCCGAGGGGTTTCTTTTTTCACTATTTCATCATTAAATCCACTTTTTTTTTTATCACAGTTCCGTATGCTCCAGAGGACTGCCAGTGTCCCCTGCCAGTGTACTGCCCAGCTCATTCTGTTTTTCTGGCAAAGGAGCAGAGGAGACTGGAGACTTGTGCACAGCGAGTCAGTATAGTTTACAGAGTATAGAGTTGGTAAATGTATGTGTTCTAATGGAGGGCTGAGAGCTGTTCTGTCTATTTAGAAAAACGTCTTTGCCAGTTTGAAATTACACAGGATCTCACTGAAAGACCAGATCTTCCATTTTGTGCGGAGCTGGAAAACGTGAAAATAGTCTCAAACTCGTGATGTAATCTGCTCTGTGCTATCAGGCGATCCATGCGCACACATTTAACTGTCTGTCAATAAATACAACAGAATGTCACAAATATTTTTAGGCATTTCTATGCACAGGAAGCTTTTCGAACACACAAATGATCACATCTGTGAAATTAGTAGGTTAAGGTTAAAAATCTGTATATGAATTGTTAATATGTATTTAGGTTGAGATGTGTGCATTTGTAAAACTGCTTTACAAGTGTTCAAATGGCTTGGTACTTGTGAGAGGATTAGAACATGTTTGTGGATTATGGACTAACTACATTTGTGAATCACATTTGTGACCATTTTCAGAATAATATCAGGAACTCTGTTGGTAGAACCCTCTCTGTTTCCCTTTGAACCCCCTTATGATTTAACTTTTTTTCTAGTACCCTCATTAAAGCTGCAGTTGGTACTTATGGTAAAAATACATTTTATCTAGTGCTGGGCAACAATTACAATTTTTAATCGCGATTAATCGCATGATTTTTTTGCGATTAATCGCATTGTTATACGCAAAGTTCAATAATGAAATGAAATGTAGTGTATTGCGCACTTTTATTGTAAAAGTACTGCTATATGAACAAAAGGGCAATAACATTTGGTTTGCAAACACTTTAATAACTGCAGTTTTTAGGGCTTGTGGGAAGACACCTGAGAGAAGGGATGTGTTTACAATTTGTAAAAGATCAGTGGTCATGCAGTTTGAAATATTTTTGAAAAAGTGTGTTGGTAGAATATCCAAGCAGCAGGAGGATGACTTCAGATGTTGTATCATGTCTTCCAGGCTTCTACAGTCGATTGAATGAAATTGTGTCATGATATTTCAATGGATGTTATTCAGAGAAGGGGACAACACATATCCTGTGGTTGGTGTGGAGGCACTGACTGCTTGTCTAATTTACTGAATTTTGTCAGCAAGAAAGGAGGCAAATTGATTGCATGCCAGGTGGATTGGAGCTCAGCAGCTACTGACACTGGAGGGTTTGTTAGCCTGTTGACGGTAGCCAATAAGGCGCGTGTATTGTTATTGTTTTTGGTTATGATGTCAGAGAAGAAGGATTGCCTTGCATTTCTAAGTTCCAAATTATAATTGCGAAGTCTCTCTTTATAGATGTCACAGTGAACCTGGAGATTTGTTTTTCGCCACCTGCGCTCAACTTTCCGACAGAGACCTGACATTTAATAAAGCTAAGTTTAATGTGTTTAAAGCTTTATTTGCCCAATTTATTTGGACAGGCTGACGAGGAATGAATTCACTATTGTTTATTCGCAGCCTCACCTTTCTTTTTCTATAAACTATCAGGACAGGAATTGAGAAGGCTCGCTTCATACAGGGCCCAGACTTTTCCTGGAGAGAATCACTGGTGCCATTAGCCTTGTAGCCTGGACCCAGAAGATATCAATCATTGCCTTTATCAGGTAGAGGAGACAGACGATGGTTGTGGAGCCGTAGTGGACGGCCAGCGCACTTTAACTTCGTCGACTGTGTCAAAACTGGCTGTGGACTTCGAGCCAGTGGCGGGGGTGGGGCTGGATGCGGAGGTGGAACTGTACGTCGAGGAGTGTGGCGAGGAGTGAGTTTGGTTCCGGCAATGACCAAGTCTTTCATGTGGTCAGTGAACTCCAGGTGGGGGGAGGATGGGGAGAGTGTGAGTAGAGAGGAGGGGGACCTGGATGGAGTTTGGGGGGTGTAAGTAGGTGCTGTTGAGGGAGGTAAAGACTCCTCCTCTCAGAAGGGGGAGAAAGTGGGTGATCAGAGGCGGTCCCTGATGATGAGGTTGGAGACTCCTCCTCTTGGCTGTTGTTAGGTGGGGGAATCCTTCCCGTAAGGTCTCTACGGCGATGCGGTGTGGTTATCTCTTGTTTTGACTCCTCTTGTCTCTTGTCCTTGGCAGTAGGAACAGACGAGTGACGCAGGAAGAAAAATAGGTTTGAGGTAAACAGTTTTACCCCTGACTTGTTCAGGCAAACTCCATGTGCCTTAAAAAGATGTCTGCACTCCCAGAAAAGGTAGAAATTGTTGATAAAATGTACTGAATGCAGTTGACAGCCATTTGTTCAGTGCAAACAGCCTGCTGAATCCTTCATCTCCTCTGACTGGTGGAAGAGGGCCACTGATAAACACCTCAGCCTTGACAGAGCTGACTGTGTTTAACAGATCGATAAAGTCTCGCTTCAGAACTTATTTCAGACTGTTGTTTCACAATATCACAGCTTCCTATATGCACGATGATGTTTTTCACCGTGGGATGGTCAGCCACCATGTCCAGGATTTTGTCTCTCATGTTAGAGACCATATCTTTCGGAAAGTAGAGTATTTTGGTATTCTTGCTGCACATCGTTCTGACATCTTGTCACCAACAATCAGAGTCTCAGGCCCAGTCATTAGCTTTCCCTGCTGCCTTTTACTCTCACATTTACTCTCAGTTCTTAGCCTGCTTTGAGAAGATAGCTGCTTATCATCAGATGGAGATTTAGGATCCTGCGACAATGGAGCAAATCTGTTATGAAGTTGTAGGCTTGGTTGTTGTGGAGTTTTTTTTCTGGTTTTACTTTTCTTAGCTGTCCTTGGCTTTGTCCGGCTGAGTGCAGGGGTTGAGGAGGAGTTCTGCCTGTGTGGTAGTGCAGGCCAGCCAGTCGCATCATAAATCTCAGGGCGCTGGGCTATGCCTGTTGGTCGTCCTCCCACATCCTGAGGGTATGATTTCCTCTTCGGCTTTGCACCGAGAGAGTTCCAGGGGGGACTACCATTTGAAGATTCATTATCTGCTCTCTCCTCCTGTTTCTTGGTAGGCCTGGTGGTGCTAGTTAGCTGTGTCTTAGCTTGCATTTGTCCAATGTTTAGTGTCCATGGTAAAGTGGTATCATTCCCACACAGTCCATTTACCTCCACATTTACTTCTAGTCGGTGGAGTTTTGTTTCCAAGACTGCAATCTTCTGCAGGAGTTTGTGGTAGTCGTCCGTGGAGAAGGGAGGCATCTTGCTGCTATTTAGCTTTAGCTTAGCTGCTAATTAGCATTAGCTGACAGCTCAAATAGCTCGACAACTTTCTGGATTCGTCTTCACTCAAACGTTGAAGAGTGATATATGTGATATATCTGGCAATTTGAATAGATTTCAAACAAGTTGTAAGTCCACTTACTAGCTTTTTCTAGGGCTTTAACTGCCTACTACTCACAAAACATGCGCATGGCAGTTTGGACAGAAATTTAAGTCAGTTAAATCAGCAATCACACATTTTTTGGGTTTTAACTTTTGTTTTTCACACTCTCTACTCTTAGACCCCTAATGTAGTTTATGTAAAACTCCAAATAACTAACTAACTGACTAATAATATGAATGAATATAAAATATTAAGAAAAAAAACTTGAACCTTATAAAACTGTTTTTCCAAGGACACACATGACAAACTTTCCTAGTGAATCCATACTGTTATATTTCCAGGGCACTCTCGAGGTGAACCTGTATGATAACAACCCCCTACAGTTTGACAACCTGATGACCTCCCTAAAGCTTGATGTCAGCAGTCTGGCTGTGGGAAAGAAGGAAACCAAGGACTTCATCATAGACCCTGAGGTAGAAGTATCAAACATACTTTAGACATTTGCATGATCCACCCATCCATTATCTAACAGGATAACCGCTAATCCTGTTGGCAGGGGGTCTGGATCATGCCAGACTATCACAGGGCTAACACACACAGACAGACAACCATTGCTCCCGTAGCTGTGCCTACGGTGTGATAGAATCTGAATTGTAAGTCGCTTTGGATAAAAGCGTCTGCTAAATGACTGTAATGTAATGTAAGCTAAATGCATGTCTTTGGACTGTGGGTGGAAGAACCCAGAGAGAACCCACGCTGACACAGGGGAGAGCATGCAAACTCCCCACAGATGGGATCGAACCCAGGTCCCTCTTGCTGTGAGGCTACAGTGCTAGGCACCACACCACCATGCAACCCCATCTGCATGATGATACACCTTAAACTAGTTATGATTTATTGGAAGACTGCCAGACTACAGCAAAGCAACTTTGAAAAATTTAAAAACAGACAGGACTGTGCAGGATTACCAATCTGAAGTAAATCTGAAGGCAAAGTGATTTTAAAAGGGTTGTTGAGCAGAAACAATTAACTAATTAATCAATTAGTTGATGAACAGAACATGTCTCCACATCGTTTCTAATTGGGTGAAAAAAGGAACAAATACCTCTAGTAAATTTGACACACCCTCTTCCAGTGTAGCATGTATGATTTAAAAGAGTGTGGACATTGATAACCAATAGGGCCTGCTTGCACTGGTCTTGCAGAAAAGTAACACCCCAGTCCCAGTAAAGAGTTTCAAATTGAATTAATCTACTAAATTTACCTCTACCACCTCCACATTTCAAAAGCTACATAGAATCTCTGGAACATGTCATCTCATAAGTGTAATGACCTTGCAGAGTATAGTAAGTTATACATTTTGCACTGGTTAGTGCGTAAGGATCTGTTGTGTCTTAAAGCATGAGCACAAGGTGGTGGGTGCATGGCTTAAGCTCCCATCCACCCCAACAGCACTGCTGCTTTTGTTAACACAACTGGCAGTGTTTATTGGTTGCTTCACAGTTTGCTAGGGGGGACCTCCATCATCACCATCATTTAGGTGCCCTTGGGCAAGGCACCTAACCAACAAACTATACCTAAAGACAGAGTACATTAATCAGACTGCATACCTGAATACTTAGAAGTTTGATGGATTCATACCTGGATATGATTTATCATTACCTGCTTTTGTAGTAGCAGCAGTGCAGCACTTTTTTGTTTCCATGATCATATACCTACACATTTTTCTGCCCTCTTTGTTCAAAGGGTAAACTCTGGATTGCCTTTGAGCTCCTGGATAGGTAAAGTTTGTTTGATTGTATTTCATTTGGCATTTAAGTTTAAAATATAATTAAAAATATTAAAATTAATTTGAAATCATTTGTGTTTGTTTTTTTAGTGAGAGGAAATTTGTCAGTCCCTGCGGAGGTTACTCCACAATGGTAAGGGCTCTACATACACACCCCATGAAAACAGAAATAAACAAAAGACAATCTGAATCTAGTAACCAAACACCAAAAGGTGATCAGTGAGAGGTTCATAGATCCATATTCAGTATATACTGCAAAAAAATCTCTTAAACCATGGTGTGGGTAAATAATCAATTCTGATTGGCTGCATGCTGTCCATTAAATGGTAAATGGACTGTACTTGTATCACGCTTTTTTAGTCTTCCGACCACTCAAAGCGCTTTAACACTACATGTCATCATTCACCCATTCATACACTGATAGCAGGGGCTACCATGCAAGGTGCCACCTGCCCATCAGGACTATCTAACTTTCATACCACACAGACACCGATGGCACAGCTTTCAAGGGCAATTTGCGGTTCAGTGCCTTCACCAGGGAACACCGACATGGACTAGCGGAGCGAATCAGAGGTTCCTGGATTGAAGAACAAATGGTTTCAAAAGTCCGTCCTATTTACTCGAGCACTAGAAAACGTTTCCATTGCAAAATAATCTTATGGGATTGTAGTGATTGTTCCAGGTATTAACAAACCCTCAGGGTTTCCAGGGAAACAGAATGAATGTCTTGTGAAAAAACTTTCGATTTTGGTTGCAAAACGCATACAAATACAAATGAATGGTCTTCATTTATTTTCTTTGGCACTCAGACAAGTAAGGGATAATGACATGTGAGGTGTTCATTATCAGGGATTAATGGACTCTAATGCTTTTTCACATTTAGTTCGGAACTTAAAATTAAAGGGGATCTTGCTCTGATCAGCTATGAACTTATTTAACCATGGCATTGAATCAGTTTGGTTAATCCAGTACTTTTTGTGGTTTGATTTGCAGCTGTTCAGTCTGATTGCTTTTTTAAAACTGGCAAAAGTTCATCTTAAACCAAAACTCTACCAAATCTAGATAGACAATAACTTAAAGGTATACTGTGTTACATTTGTGGGTTGCTTTTTGTACATACACAGCCTTCAAAGTTGGCCACTTCTCGAGGTAGGGAGAGAGAGAATAAAGAGAGTGAGCGGCGGTAGTGAGAAGAAAGCAATATATTAGAGAAATTTTTTTTATCATTGTCTCAAAGCGGTTATGTTCAAAAACATTAATAAACACACCAACCCCTCCCTGTCGGCTCTGCTTATTTGTGTGCTTCTGTAAACAGACACACTGCCACCAATGAGAGAGAGAGGAGCAGGGAAAACACAGTAATGTCACAACTCATACTCAACCATCAAATATGGCTGCTTTGTATCTGACTAGCGCTTAAGTGGAACCTGTGCTTCGGTATCAGACGCCAAGGAGCGTGACAAAGCAGCAGTATTTGACGACCTGAATGGGCTGCACACATTGCACACTGCTTTTTGCTCGGGGTTACAGCCCAGGTTCTTTGTCGATGCCCAGAAACGTCCCGAACACAGTAAAATAGGAAGAAAAGGGGACATTTAGGCAGATGGCATGGTGTCTGTTGATAAAGACGCCACCATACACTTCTAATGGGTCATAAATGATGATTGAGAAGGATTATTTTGTTAAACAGATTAAGTCGTGAGTGGTTTGTACGAGTTATTTAGGAGAACATGCAGCATCACCCAATTTTCTTTGCTGTGTTTTCAATTTTCATTCTTGGAAGAGAGTGTGTCTTCAGACGGTGTCCTGATATCGGCAGAGACAGATGGATGGTTTCTTACAGGAATCTACACATGCAGATTCATGGAAGTCACTGTCCAGGGCAACATGCTCCATTGCAATGCCTGAAAGTGCAGTATCACGTATTCTTTCATCCATTTCGAACACAGCTCTAACTTTGATCACACAAAGACCCGATGAGTCGTAGCAATGACCTCGGTACCCCGTATTCCTGCAGTACCCTCCACAGGACTCCCAGAGGTACACGGTCGTAAGCCTTCTCCAAGTCTACAAAACACACGTAGGGAATACTCCCATGACCCCATGTCTGCCCCTCCACAGTCACTGTCCCCGATCTCCACGAGACACTGAAGATGCAATGTCCAGAGCCTTCAGCACTGGCGCCTTGCTACTGAGGAGGTTTTTGACTACCTCAACAACCTCTGGCCAACCATATGGATGGGTCTTCCCCCGAGTGTTCAAACTCTGCCTCCTCCACGGAGGACATGTTGTTTGAGTTCAATGTGCTCTTTCCACAACTTGACAATATCCCCAGTCCGGGTCAGCAGTTCTCCTCCCCTGCTTAACTGCTTGACACAGCCAGAGCTAGCGATGTGCAGGGATATCGCTAAATTTGCATTTAGCGATATCCCTGCAGTATTGGTCTTTGCTGGTCTTGATTTAAAATACTGAGTCAAGACAAGATACGATCAATTTCAACGCAGAGCCTCGTCACGAGACCAAGACCAATCTCGAGTACTACACTGCAGACTAAAGAAGGCTTTGTTAGGGATAAAGTTACTAAGCAACCGCCAGCTGGTACTGCCAAAATAAATGCTGTTAGAAACTCTGACAAAATTGCCAAAACCCTCATTGCCAGTCAATAAGTAATTTCCTATTGTTATCAATCAGCAGTCATACAATCAAAGACTCGTTTAATAACTAAGTGACATTAAAACCAAGACAAACTGACACAAATCACACAAAACTGCCATGTTAAGATCAAAGGTTTTTAAACGGCTTTTAAACATTGGTAAGGTGGATGACAACCTAATATAAAAGGGAAGGTTGTTTCAGAGCTTAGGGGCAGGAATACAGGTAGCCAATGAAGGGATTTTAAGATCGGTGAAATGTGTTCACGCCTGCGTGTACCAGTTAAAAGTCTCGCTGCAGAGTTCTTTTGAGGATAGAAAGGCTTTGACCTTAGCTAAAAGTCTTAGCTGAAAGAAGCTGATTTTGACCAAGGACGCAACTTGGAGGTCCAACATAAAAGATGAGTCAAAAAAGGGAAACTTCACGTACATCTGACGTAAAAAATAGAAATAGAAGACGCCTATTTGTATGTTTGTAAAGTGGATCTCTGTGATACATAAGCACCACTTACATGCCAGTTTAATTGATTATGATGGAAGTGTAGTTACACCTTCAAAGTATTCTGATTCTTGTCTTAATTGCTTTTTGGGGGCTTATTCAACAGAAAGAAACTATGTCCTATTTGACCTTGAATACCAACATACTGAGAGCAGAAAAAATGCCCCGCAAAGATTTGTGTAAGTATGGCTTTCACTTTTCTAAGTAATAATATGTGCTGTGCATGTTTTGTATTGACACTTCATCACTTTTAAAAAAATATTTCTAGTGTTTTTATTTTAAAACATTTTCATATGAAACTGACCTGTCTTTTTCTGTCTCTGTGTTACAGTCTCTGAATCTGACTGCTACGTTATCCTCTCTCTCCCCACGGCAACGGCAAATGCCTACCGTACTAAAACTGTGTCGAACAATACCAACCCAGAGTGGAATGAAACGTTTACCTTCAGGGTCCCCACCCATGTGAAAGTGAGTGTACGCAATATTAGCATCACATCAAACACGAGCGTCTGACTGACTGCTGTTGTTCAGTCCACCCTGGAAAGAACCAGTTCAGTTAGTGTAGCAAGTACTTAAATATTCTGATAACGTGTTTTTTTTTGCTTCATTATTGCCAGCCAATAGCTAATTTAATTTATGAAGAGTACAAGTCAAAAGCTCTGTGACTCAGTAAGCTTTTCTACTGTTTCCCCAGAACATTTTAGAAATGAAGCTATATGATGACGACCCTTTGGCACGTGATCATCTGTATGCCGAGCTTCTGTTTGATGTCGCAAGTCTCACAATAGGGAAGAAGGAGACCAAGGTCTTCCCTATAAACCCAGAGGTAAAGCAACAAGAGAACAACACTTGCTCTGTAGGATTGTAATGCACTTAGGGCTGATCTGTTACAAATTGGCCATTAAGCAAATGATTATGATTCAAGGATTTTCTCTTGTCCACTTTTCTATAGACAGAGGGCACACTTCTGATAGTATTTGAGCTACTTCACAGGTAACTGTATATTACTGTTTTTACTTTATTGTCCTCTATCAAACCATTTGATTAAAAATGAGCTGGTTAAAAATGAATAACTTTTGTCTTTTTGTAGTGACGACCCCCCTTGTGAATATCCCTCTAATGGCACCGTGGTGGTAAGATTTTTAAAATAACATCAGCATTATACACCTAAATGTTACATCAGTTCTCAGATCATTCTCCATGTCGACTGGAACCCTAACAAAGTATGGATGATCACCAACTTGCAACAAAAGAAGCCATTTAATTCCCAAACATAATTAAAATTGTGGTTGCTTGATAAATTCAAAATGGCAGCAGAATAAACTTTTATTGTCATTGCCCAGATCACAGGTATCAAGACAACAACATGTATATTAGTATCTGAACAAAAGTGCAAAAAGCAGAGTAGTGCTGTACTGAATAAAGTGCAGAATAAATCAAATATAAAATTAATATAGAATGTAGAATATACAGTTAGGGTATGGATATGCCAGATGAGCAGTATGAACAGTATAAACAGTGTGTAATGAATATGCAAAGACATATACAGAATGAACATGGTAGGAACTGCGAGTTATTTGGGTTTTCCTCTCCTCAATGTCAACCTAAACTCGAAAGGCTGTAAAACCAAAGAGGACGCATTGGCAGCTCAACTCCTTTCCTTTCCTGCAGTTTGATTTAAAATGAGTTTTATCATAGAGTTTTGTCAGGTTGAAGATCTTAGAAAAGAACACACAAAGACAACATACTGCCATTTCTAACAACATATTCATGCTGGATTACATGTTTTCCATCAGCATTTGCTAATTATCTTTTTCTTAATAGATTTAAATAAATCATTACCGACTTCAGAATTTGTCATTAATCACATTTATTAATTTTTGAATAACCAGTTGATCTAAGAAATGATAAACTTCATTCACAATAAATTATTAATTACATTTATGTACACATGCTTCAGATAAATTGACCTCACATGAATTGTTCAGCTCAGCGCTGCTCTCTTGTGCGACATTCCATAAATTACGCATACGCAGAAACAAGGCGATTGGCTCATTGATATTGTAAAAGCAACGGAAGTTCCAAAATATAAATAAAGAAAAATTTGTTAATTTCAAATATTGACTTTTTTTGTCTTTTGCGCATTACCAACTATGTTCATTGCTGACACTGCTGAAAGATCACTGGCACAAGTGAAAAAGCACTGCTATTAACAAGCATGTTCTAAATGGATAGACTGAAGACTGTGGTTGTGGTGCAGAGGGGTCCAAACTTCTTACAGCAGAGTGAAGACTTAACCTGCCAGTATGTGCATTCTAACAATCTGACTTCAATCTTAAAAATATTGATAGATTTATGACCATTAAGCTGCCTCATGACACAGAGCAGGTGGATCCTCTAGCTCATGGGAATAATTATTATGAATGTATCTTATTTTGATTTCCCTAACCAGAGTAACTGATCTTTGTGTCTTCCAGGCTGCCCCGTTCTCTATACTGGATATTAACATTGACAATCTACAAATTGATGACCGTAGGTAGTCTACAATACTGTCTAATTCGTTCAGTCAGGTTGAATTTACTTAAGCTTTCATTGTCCTGTTCACCAAATATTTTTTCACAAATTAAAGCGAAGGATTCAGGACAGCTTCACAGACATGACAGGCTGTATTTTCGAACCCACAGTGAACAGCGTTCAGCTTTTTACAGCAAAGGAGCTCACAACAAAGTTAAGGAAAAGCTGGTGAACATTGTGGAGCATATTTTTTCAGGACATGGAGCTTAAAGGAGAATGCATATTAGACTTACAATCACTCAGTATCCAAAGACACACTTCCAAATAAGTATGAATGCTGCTCCATAACTGCTGGAGGCATTCAAAAAATTGTTTGCCAACAAGTTTGCTATATCAACTGAAAGGCGCATGGTCTCTGTGGCAAACCAAGCGCCATACTCTCTGGCTGTGTGTGCAAGTTATATAACTACACATACTCTTGCAAGACCTGCTGTTGTTTATGTAGGAGACATATTTACAACAAACAGAAAGAAGATTGTACTTTTTTTTACATTCATGGTCCCCAGAGGATGAATCCTATAGGCTTTGCTGATCCTCTGATTTTTCACCTCTATCCACCATTAGGTTCTAATTTTTGGCTTTGTGTGAAAGGTCTCACTCTCTTCCATTTGATGGATGCCATGAACATTAACTTGTATCTATCTATAAAGCTGGTGTTATTTACAGTGAGCACTGCAGCTTAAGTGTGGCTGTTCAGGCTTTTTAAAATGTACAGAAGAAAGCAACTAACAAAAATCAAGACACCTTGGAGATGTCTTCTTCAGACAAATGGATGACTTTAGTATAATGATAACTTTTACTAATGACTTATCAAGCAACAGCAATATTGGTATTTATCAGTTTCAACAGATTAACATGACATGTGGGTAAATGTTTTTCACCAGATTTGTGGAACAAGGTTCTGAAACTGAGGGGTGCCCATCACGAGGATCACATACTTAATACCAAGGAAACCCCAAAACCGCGTTTCTACATCAACAGAGACTTGGAGACAGAACTAGGAGTGGCAGTGAGTTTTAATTGTCTTTTAGTTTGACAGCGAGATGTCACATATTTTATAAGTGAACGGTGTTCCTGATCAACTTCACTTGTCACCTCCTTTAACACAGAAGAAAGGAAGAGGGGAAGTAAATAAGGAAAGAGAAGATAGAAAATCAACTTGTTTTTCGTTTTTAAGGGCTTCATAGCAAATGTTTTTTTACAATAACTGCCACAGCATACTTCAAAATCTAGAAAGATAGTATAACATGGCATGCTATTTTTCCCTTTGTCTGTCAGCACTGTGGTTATATCTATGGCTCTGCTGCTCCAATGGAAACTTCTATTAATCTCCAGCCACTACCAGCCAAACATGCAGGCAAAGTGTCGCTTGTTATTGACCAGGTAAGAAGTTTGTTTGCAGCTGCATTAACTGGTCCTTTTGTTTTGACCAGCTGAAGATCAGAGGACAGGCCGACCCAAGCGTTTAGGGGCCCTTTCTGAATTTGATCATATAGGGCTGTAGTTCAAATAATATATGTTGAATAGTAATGTGGCTTTTTCTCATCACAGGACACAGTGGATTTAGACATAGAAACAACTGAAGGGTAAGGTGTTTCCTACTTCCACTATACAGTATAACCAAAAGTATGTGAACTCCCAAATATCACACCTATAGCCTACGTGAGTTTTGAGCAGAACCATAGGCAGTTAGCCTCCACTCTATTGGGAAAGTTTTGCATCAGAGTTTGGAACCTGCCTCCACGGATTTTCTCCCATTCAACCACATTAATGAGGTCCATCATCAGTTTTTATTGTTGGTCTAGGTCAGGGGTTCTCAACTGGTCTGGCTGCGGGACCCACCATCACCCACAAGCCACGACCCAAATCGAGGAAAATTTTCAACTTCTTAAATTAATTTAATGTAAAGATGGTGCAGTTTGAACCTGAGCTGAAAATGTCCTCTGCAGTCGTAGTATAGGGAGCTCTCTTGTGCAGAGAAATTGTTCCTGTAAGCCCCCGTCCCACAGATGTTTCACGTAAACGAGTAAAACTGCTTTGTTTGTTATGTCTGTAGATTCGTCCATTTGTAATGCAAAATGACCACTTGCCTAAATTCGAGCTTGTTTGATGTCATCCGACATGTCTTCAATTCGTCTACTTATAGTGTCATATAGGTATAGTTTTCAGTTTATCCTCTGCTGATATGAGCATTACAAAGCATTAACGGCAAATATTGTTAAGGAGTGTGAATAGATGGTACTCCGCTGCATAAAAAATCCCCTTCAAAATAAAAGCACAGCATTTTTTTTTTTGTTTCTTATTTCTTTCAGGCAAAGGCCCATTGAAAACGGGTCCGCGACCCACTTTTGGGTCACGACCCACCAGTTGAGAATCACTGATCTAGGTAATCCCAAAGGTGTTGGGTTGAGTTTGACGTCAGGGTCAATCAAATTATTTCACGCGAAACTGGAAAACCATTTGTTTATGGATCTGACAATGTTTACAGGGGCATTGCCATGTTGAAACAGGAAAGGTATAAACCCAAACTGTAACAAAGTTTGAAAAACACTACTGTCTAAGATATAATTGTGTGATTTAGCATCAAAGGTGCTAAATTCCAAATTCAGAGCATATCTATTATTGAGGGATTGTCTCCACACGGCTCTCAACATGGCGATGGCTGAGTCGGCGTCTAGCAGCTACCAGTGCAAACAGTGCTGACAGAGCTAACAGTGTTAATCTGGGGGTAACCAAAGGGTGTGTGTGAGCTTTCGTGACAACACCGTGTCAGCTGTAAAAGCTGTATAAGCGCAGAACAGCAGTAATTAGCTGAGGGGCCTCCAGAAAAACCAGTTAAACAGTCCCAGACCAAAAGTATACGGACAGGGGTATTCACCTTGGGGCTGAGTGAGCTAAGCAGGGCAAAAAACTTGAAAATGTTAACCAGAAGACGTCAGTGAAACAATGCTTTTTAGCTTTGTGTTATGTTACACTTGCTTTATCCCTGGAAATCCTCAGTGAGGGTCTTGCAGTTCGTCTGGACTTTGACATCCCAACTCAAGAGAAAGAGTTTCTGAAGAAGAGGGACGTTGTAGTGGCACAGGCTTTGCAGAAGCTTTTTGGAGCTCCATCTGATCCTAAAAAGGTAGAGTGCAACCCTTTGTTACTTTTGCCCTTGTACCCCTACCCACCACCTTACCTATGTCAATTTGCTAATAATTTTGCTAATCAATAAAAAACACAATGTAATGCCAAAAAGTGTACCAGAAGTCAAGACCAACATACAACACTATGACGTCATGAACTCTGTCACACACACACAGCGGACCACCAGGCTTGCAATACACTGACGGACACCATGACAGTGTGTACCAGAGTCACACAGCTGACAATTTCAAAACTGATGCGCTGTGGATTTACAGAGAAAGTGGGTTGGGTTACATGTGTCCACGATATTGTGTCCACGACAATGCATGCAACATTGTGGTTGCTTACTCTTCTGGACAGGGGACCTGGGGACTCAGTTGCCTCTTTTGTGTATACACTGCAGCTGTGTAAGATGATGGATTTAACCTCTTTGTGCATCAGGTTATCTTTGCAGCTGGATGGCTTGGCAGTTTACAGTTAATGATCTATTAACAAGGTTTGGCTATGGGGCAGAAAATAATTTCTTTATTAGTATCCTTAGTAAAAATGTTAAAATATGTGACCACACTGCAACATACTGTCTTGCATATAAGACAGCATAATCAAATTTTGAGTTACAGGACACCAGGTACAGGCATTATTGTTACCCACAGGATCAAATTGAATAACTTTGGTGACTTTTCATCAAGGTCTTTCATCTTTTATCAGTGCAAAATTTCAAAATTTTTCAATACTTGTGACCAAATAGCCTCGGCTGTACTTTGCGTTTTTTTCCTAAAAGCGTACTGACTTTGGAAGTAAGATGGTGACCAAGGTGAACATTAAACATAAACTGCTAAATATCATTTAGCATTTGGTCAAACTGCTAGAGCCACACCTCTCTATTCTCTGTTCAGGTGCCGAAGATAGCATTGGTGGCTTCAGGGGGAGGTTCCAGAGCAATGACAGGCCTGCTTGGTAGTCTAAGAAGCCTGAAGGAAATCGGAGTCCTGGATGCTGTCAGTTACATCACTGGTGTTTCTGGAGCCACATGGTGAGTGAACCATTTCACTAGGCAAGTGTCCTCAGTATCTTCATTTTAATCTTCTCATTTTACATAGATAGGCAAAGACAGGCAATCCCTCAAATTTTGGGCTGTGCCTTATAGAAAGCTTGTAATTAAATACAGGGCAGGGGGGTTTTAAAGAGAGGGCAACCTCCGAGGCTGAAAAATGAAACCGATGTGGAAGTGCCAAAAACTGCAGGTCAGCAAATTGTCACTTCAGGCTGGCTCCAAAGAGTCAATCCCCACAGACCTCCATGTCAAAAGGCCCAACTTTAAAGCAGAAATAAACATGTTTGCAGCCTGTTACAAAGAACGGTTTGGTCTCTATAGCCAATATCCTTGTTCCTGACAACAGAGGTTGAATTTGTATCTAACTCACCTGTTTAAATTGTATTTAGGCTTAAAGGTATGCATAATTAAGGGAATGGTCACTTTGAATGAAAGGTGGGGGCCATCACAGCTGCAAGCTGTCTGCTAAGTGTCGCCTCAGCTAATTCGAGTTCACTAAACTTAACCTCCTAGCCAAGTTTGTGCTGTTGGTGCCTTTTTGAGAATTTGTCATTCAAATATCAGAAAAATAATAATACTTGCTGTGGCAGGCTGGGGAAAGACAAAATGTGTGTCAGTAGAGTATTATCTGCATAGTTGTGGTAGAAAAAGTCACGGAAGAGAAAAGAGAGCCTTGATGGACTCCGGTAGTAAGACTGCCAGGTTCAGATCATAGGCTTTAAGAAATATGGACGTAGTTTCTGTCATGTCACCCAAAGGCTTCTGACAAACCGTTGTGAAGCTCTAAGTGAGTAGCTCTGGCCTTCGTCACCTTGGCAGTGAAGACACAGCCTAAATCTGAAAAAAAGAATGGATTTTCGGTGGAGCTGAGGCAGGCCCGGGTGACGCAACAGTCTAAGTTACCTTGTAATTGTGGTCCTTGAGGTAGGATGTGAAAAAGAAGAGTGCAGAGAGGAGGATCTGTTGCTTCACTGTGTCAAATGCTGCTGAAAAATCCAGCAGGATGATGGACAGGGAGCTCCAGCAATTTAGAGTTCTTTTATGGCAGTCATAGTTTAGTGGCCTACCTTGAAACCAAATTGGTGGGGTAGCTGTGGGGAAAGTTTCTGCAGAAAGTTTCGTGAAGACAGCAAGCTCAAATGTTTCACAAAGAAATGGAAGAAGAGAGACAAGTCTGTTATTCTTTAGTGTTGAGTTTGGTTTTCTTTAACGGACGTTCACTCAAGCTGCATTTAGAGAGTGAGGAAAACAACCAGTTTTCAAAGAGCATACCTGAAGTGGATGAGGTAAGAGCCATAAAGAAAAAGGTGAGAGGGGATAGGGTCAAGGAGGCAAGTGGTTGGGTGGGGGTACTTAAACCAGTACTTTATTGGAGGAGAGTGTTGAATAGGAAGTTAGAATGGGATGCAGAGTAAGTGGAGAGAAGAGACTGATAGCCAAGTCCTCAGCGTGCTTTGATTTCTACCATTTTCTTTCAGCTGCGTTAACATATATGTACCAGGTAGACTCTATGTCACCATTGGTCTCGCAAAGTTCAGAGTTGAATTAAATTAGCAATTATTAAAACAGCAAATGGCACGTAGAGACATTTTCGACCCATTATACACCGATCTTTTTATAAATTTGGTAAGAAATATCAATATTTCGTGCCTGGTTATATGAATCGATTTTCAATCATTGTACTATTACTTCCCTTTTGAACAGGGCTATGTCTGCTCTGTATCAGGAAGCTAACTGGTCACATGAGGACATGGACAGTGTTATTTCAGCAGAGAAGAAACAGATGACGAAGCATGCCCTGAGTACCATCACTCCTGAGAATCTCCATTACTACAGAAAAGAAGTTGCTGAGAAAGAGCAAGAGGGTTACACTGTGTCACTCATTGATATGTGTGGCCTGATCATTGAGCATGTTGTCTTTGGGAAGGTGAGCAGCTGATGAACACTTTCTCTTCTCACTTTAATCATACTGTGTATTACTTTGAAAGCTTAAAGATTATGTGTAACTTTCAGAAAGTCCTTGTTTTTTTTAAAGACACCGGTGGCAGTTAAGTTAGAGAGTGAACATCGGCCAAAATAGTGACGTGACACACACAAGACTGAATATGATTGAATGATTGGCATCTTGCAAATAGAACCATTGGCTCCGTGAAAGACCGCCACCCACCACAAAACAGATCGGGGCTGATGGCTGGTAAATCGGAATAGCTTGCCGTTTGAAAGTTACTTTCAGCTAATACGAGATTTTTAAATCGCAAATATCAAACAAGTTCAATGTTTATAATCCGATATCCATAACAGCTGAGGACACAATTACAAATTGTTGCCATCCACACACTATACAAACAAAACTGGTAAATTTATCTCATTATGTGTGGGATCCCTCAAATGTTTGACATCTGTTAAGATTTGAAAAAGTATGGTCAAGCCTTTGTCACGGGAGTTCACGGTTAGGACCCAATAGCAAGACCACAGGAGACAGAGTACGGTGAAACATACTTTATTTAGCCAGAGTAAGGAAGACAGGAAGGTGTGGAGCCCGTGGTCCGACACCAGAGAGTAGGCAGATCGACGGTGCGAGTCCCGTGGCTCGACACCGGAGAGCTGGTAGCTTGACGGCGTGATGTCCCGTGGCTCGACACCGGATAGCTGGCAGCTTGACGACGTGTGTAATCTGTTAACACAACAGAGGGCAGAGCGGCGGTGTATAGTCCGTTAACACCACGGACGGCAGAGCGGCGGTGTGTAGTCCGTTAACACCACGGAGGGCAGAGCTGCGGTGTGTAGTCCGTTAACACCACGGAGGACAGAGCGGCGGTGAGTAGTCCGTAAACACAAAGGAGGGCACGGGGGATTCCCGGACCGACGGACACCGGAGGCAGGCGCTTGAGGCAGAAGCTGCAACGGGGTTGAAGCGGGTGAAAGACGGTACGACCTGACAACCCTAGACTGCAGGACCAGAGTTTATATAGTGCCAGGGGAAGCGTTAGTGGGACCTGAGTCTGGTGTGTCAGCCTGCAGGAGGTAATCGGCTGGTGTGGCCGCAGCTGTGTGGCCATGGGAGGTGTCTGGTCTGACAGGGATCCTGACAGCCTTGAAGCAACCAACAGCAGATCCATGCATCCATGCAACAGTTAGCAGGCTAACCTTAGCTTAGGTTGTGGTTAGCTTAGTTTGCAGCCCCTGCCTTTCATTGCTGATTGGCATAATACACAAGTTAGTATCTTGGATCATGTTATAGTGAGGCAAGGTAGCAAACTAACATACAGTATATCTGCTCACAATTAAGTTAGCAAGCAATCAAGCTACGGTTAGCCAGGTAGCTATAGTTTACGTTGCATGGATCTGTGTTGGTTGCTTCATAACATTAGTTGATTAGGTAATTTGCAAACAGCAAGCTAGCCAATTTATCAGCCAGGTCAGCACTGGGAGTCTGGATGAATCTGCCTCAAGACAGTATTTTGCTAATTTAGCTGGTGAGCAATTTGTCTGCGTTAGCAGGCAAGCTAGTGCTGGGAGACCTCTGGTACTGGGTCTTGCACTGGTGGATTTCAAGTTACTACATCCATCGATTTTCCACCGCTTATCCGGGGTCTGGTCGCAGTGGCAGCAGGTCAAGCAGGCCGACCCAGACCTCCCTCTCACCGGCAACATGTTCCAGCTCATTCTGGGGGATCCCGAGGCGTTCCCAGGCCAGCTGGGAGATGTAATCTCTCCAGCGTGTTCTGGGTCTTCCCCGGGGTCTCTTCCCAGTTGGACGTGCCTGGAAAACCTCCAGTGGGAGGCGTCCAGGAGGCATCCTAATTAGATGCCCGAACCACCTCAGCTGACTCCTTTCGACGCGAAGGAGTAGCGGCTCTACTCCAAGCTCCCTCCTGATGACCGAGCTCCTTACCCTATCTCTAAGGCTGAGCCCGGCCACCCTACGGAGGAAACTCATTTCGGCCGCTTGTAGCCGCGACCTTGTCCTATCGGTCACGACCCAGAGTTTGTGACCATAGGTGAGGGTAGGAACGTAGACCGAGTGGTAAATTGAGAGCTTTGCCTTCTGGCTCAGCTCCCTCTTCACCAAGACGGTCCGGTGCAGCGCCTGCTTTACTGCTGCAGCTGCACCGATCCGTCTGTCGATCTCCCGCTCCATCTTACCCTCACTCGTGAACAAGACCCCGAGACACTTGAACTCCTTCGCTTGAGGTAGGCACTACGTCCCCACCTGGAGGGAGCAATCCACCGGTTTCCGGCAGAGAACCATGGCCTCAGATTTGGAGGTGCTAACTCTCATCCCCGCCGCTTCACACTCGGCTGCAAACTGCCCCAGTGAATGCTGGAGGTCACGATCCGAGGAGGCTAACAGGACCTCATCATCTGCAAATAGCAGAGAGGCGATCCCGAGACCCTCGAGACTGACGTTCTCCGCCCCCAGGCTGCGCCTAGATATCCTGTCCATGAAAATCACGAACAGGACCGGTGACAAAGGGCAGCCCTGGCGGAGGCCAACACCCACCGGGAACGTGTCTGACTTGTTGCCGAGAATGCGGACACAGCTCCTACTGCAGTCGTACAGAGACCGGATCGCCCTTTGTAACGGGTCCGGCACCCCATACTCCCGCAGCACCCCCCACAAGACCCCCCGAGGGACCCGGTCGAAAGCCTTCTCCAAGTCCACAAAGCACATGTAGACTGGTTGGGCAAACTCCCAGAACCCCTCCAGTAGTCTTGCGAGGGTAAAGAGCTGAATCCGCACTGCTCCTGTTGAATCTGAGGTTCGACAAGCGGTCGGAGCCTCCTTTCCAGCACCCTGGCAAAAGCCTTCCCGGGGAGGCTGAGTAGTGTGATACCCCGGTAATTCGAGCACACTCTCCGGTCCCCTTTTTTGAAGATGGGAACCACCACCCCGTTCTGCCATTCCATGGGCACTGATCCCGACCCCCATGCGACATTGAAGAGGCGTGTCAGCCAGGACAGCCCAACTATGTCCAGCGCCTTCAGCATCTCAGGGCGGATCTCATCCACCCCCGGGGCCTTGCCACCAAGGAGCTTTTTAACTACCTCAGCGACCTCTGCCAGGGATATGGGTGAGCCTCCCCCTAGGTCCTCAGGCGCTGCCTCCTCTGCAGAGGACATGTTGGTCGGGTTTAGGAGTTCCTCAAAGTGCTCTTTCCACCACCCAACGATGTCCTCTGTCCGGGTTAGCAGTCCCCCCCCTGCTGAGAACAGCCTGGGGTAAGCCCTGCTTTCCCTTCCTGAGCCGTCGGATGGTTTGCCAGAACCTCCTTGAGGCCAACCGAAAGTCCTTCTCCATGGCCTCCCCGAACTTCTCCCATGCCCGAGTTTTAGCATTCGTGACCACCGCAGCTGCAGCCCTTCTGGCCTGCCGGTATCTGTCAGCTGCTTCAGGAGACCCCTGGGCCAACGAGGCCTTGAAGGTCTCCTTCTTCAGCTTGACGGCTTCCCTCACCTCCGGTGTCCACCACCGGGTTCTCGGGTTGCCGCCACGACAGGCACCGATGACCTTCCAGCCACAGCTCCTAGCGGCCGCGTCCACAATAGAGGCTTTGAACATGGTCCACTCGGATTCCGTGTTCCCAACCTCCCTCGGGATGTGTGAGAAGTTCTTCCGGAGGTGGGAGTTAAAGACCTCCCGGACAGGGTCCTCCGCCAGACGTTCCCAGTTCACCCTCACTACACGTTTGGGTTTGCCGGGTCTTTCCAACCGGTTCCCCTGCCATCTGATCCAACTCACCACCAGGTGGTGATCAGTTGACAGCTCTGCTCCTCTCTTCACGCGAGTGTCCAAGACATACAGCCGCAGATCAAATGATACGATTACAAAGTCGGTCATTGATCTCCGGCCTAAGGTGTTCTGGTACCAGGTACACTTATGAGCCACCTTATGTTCGAACATAGTGTTCGTTATGGCCAAACCGTGGCAAGCACAGAAGTCCAATAATGAAACACCATTCGGGTTCAGATCGGGCAAGCCGTTCCTCCCAATCACCCCCCGCCAGGTTTCTCCGTCATCGCCCACGTGAGCGTTGAAGTCCCCCAGGAGAACTATGGAGTCGGTAAGCGGCGCCCTTTCCAGGACCCCTCCCACCGACTCCAAGAAGGCCGGATACTCCGAACTGCTGTTTGGTGCATAAGCACAAACCACAGTCAGAGCCTTGCTCCCCGCAACCCGTAGGCGCATGGAGGCGACCCTCTCGTTCTTCAGGGAGAACTCCAACACAGCGATGCTCAGCTGGGGGCTCGTGAGTATCCCCACTCCCGCCCGGCGCCGATCACCCTGGGCAACTCCGGAAAAGGACAAAGTCCAACCCCTCTCCAGGAGCTTGGTTCCAGAGCCAACGCTGTGTGTGGAGGTGAGTCCAACTATTTCTAGCTGGTATCGCTCCACCTCCTGCACCAGCTCCGGCTCTTTCCCCGCTAGCGAGGTGACATTCCACGTCCCTAGAGCTAGTCTATGCCGCCGGCGATCGGCATGCCCAGGCCTCCCGCCCGACCCGCCGCCCGGTCTGCATAGCACCCGACCCCGATGCTTGTCCCTGCGGGTGGTGGGTCCACAGGGTGGCTGCTCCATGGTGTTTATTCGGGCTGAGCCCGACCGGGCCCCAGGGGCAAAGGCCCGGCCACCAGACGCTCGCCTACGAGCTCCCCTCCTGGGTCTGGCTCCGGGATTTCCCTGGTCCGGGCGAGGTGGCTATAGTCTGTGGGCTAACTATCATAGGGTCGTTTTGAACGCAATTCAGTATTATGTATTATATATATATATATATATATATATATATATATATATATATAATCTAATGTTTATTTATTGAGATGCCCCTATGAACCTTGTTTGTTGGGGAAACACCCAATCACTGTGGTGAGGAAACCTGCATGTTTTTCTGACAGATTATTTGTAGAGGAATTTTGCTCTTCTGT